AACTCTCATTATAAAAAGGTGTGCCAAACCACTTTACATTTTTTGGAGAACATTTGAATATTCATTTAACACTGAAAAGTCCTATGTCTGTAGTACTGTGAAAATATATGTTATGATAGTAACACATGTATATCACCCAGGTAATTACACAATACATGTACTCTGAAATAAGGGGAGAAAGTTACCTGCATTAGCCAGGTAGATCATCCCAAGTTCCCTGGGTGGTTCCAATCCTCCACTCTCCTCCTTGGGGTCCTCTTTTTCCGTTTCCTCTGCTCTGTCTTCACTGTTTACCTCCTCTTCCACCTCCGGTACTGTTGAGATGGGTCGGTCGATGATGTTGGAATTGTCAGTATTGTGGATGACTAGAGTCACTGCGGAACTTCCACTCCAGCGCACGCGGGAACATTCATCTTTCCCATAGGACAACAAGATATCTATAAGATAGTAGGATTTCTTTAGGGCATTCTCCATTTTTATTGTAAATACAGACTTTTCTTTCTTTTTCTTACGCGGTGTTTTTTCAGTGATGTTTTTGTCTGAATTCTTTTCATCATCTGACTTCGGAGTTTCCTCGCTGTGTGCTTTCTCCTTTACATCTAATGACAATGCCTTTTCTTTGATTATTTCATCATATTTGTCCTCGCACAATTTGATGATTTGTTGTACGATATTGACACTTTCATCGTGAAGAATGCCTCGCTCACTCTCCTTTGTGCTCGGACGTTCAAACTGATACTGAAACATTTCTTGGTTTTCGCCAATATTATGCGGCAAACACTTTGTCCTAGGGTCAAACTTTGCCATTTCGTACAGCAGAAGATGGTGGAGTTCCGCAGCTGCGATTTCTGCCGCAAAGCGCCCATGGTGGCCGTCAAATAACGCCAGATAACATTTGTTACGATCCTCTCCGAAAAAGTCTTGATACACATGTGCATCCTCCATGTAGCTCTTCCATCGTTCATTTCTAGTGGAGCAGATGCCAACGGATGTCACGCAACCAGGACTACAATTTAAGGCCACACCCTTAACCCCCGTACTCACGTCTTCATCGATGTGTCGAAATTCTCCAAAAGTTCCGTCAATTTCTGACTTAAGATATTCATAAGCATCATTTACTCTTTGTATAGATTTTGGCTCCAGCGGCTTATCTGCAGTTGCTGATGATTTTAGTTTTCGTAAAATTGCGTTTCTACGTCGCAGCAAGGCATCAGTGGTCGTCGGCTTGGCACTGCCATTGTATTTAAGGATTGACAGGTTCTCGTGGTAGATCCTATGATCCCTCAGAGAGGGTAGGTCAATGTGTTCCTTGCATTTCTCACATATAATGGAAATGTCCGGAGTTATGGAGAGTTCTGGCAGTAATGTCTCGGGTGTATCTGGAATACAAAACAAATCTCCAGTATACCGTGTATACATGTTATTATACTTGTAAGTTCTTTACTATACACTTAGGAAAGTTATATTATCAGAGTGTTTAATTAAATAGAGGTCATTTTTGATAAATTCAGACAAGTATTTCTAGGTTGATTTTCGGCAACAACATTTTGTTCTTTATAATGTAACAATCGGGTTAAGTGCAGTTTGTCTGAATATATACATAGAAATATATAAGTTACATATCAGACACACTACCCAGGAATTTGTTATTCATGTTCAACATGTGTCATTGATATTTTTATTTATTTCTTCAAGGTCAGTCATAGCATATTATATATTTTACAGGAGTCCCTTTTTCAAGTGTTCTGTTAGGAACCATAGATTGCTAGTACAATGTATCTAAATGAAATTGTAGCTGTGTTGGCATAGCAACCAAATGTCCTAACGATGATGTGACAACCGTATAACAGATAAAACTTACAGCCGATTAGCTTGAGGAACCATGGTAACAGGTAGCCATATCTGTCCTCTAGATCCCATAATGGCACGTGAAAACATTCTCCATTACGACGTAATTTATTCATCTTAATCTGTAATCTTTTATCCAAATATTAATAATCAAAGTCTGAAATAGGTCTAGAACAAAGCCACAATCTATCTGAGTGATCTGTGATAACGACGAAAAAAATTATCTCGCTGTGTAAAGTTTTGCTATTTGAAGATTACTTCATCACTGTGAATTCTGATACTTCAATACTCATATGGTGATACCATTATGTAAGGATGTTGACCTGCTGCTATGACAACGGTACATCTAATTCAGAGGATAATATTATTGAAGACGTAGGATAAAAAAGACATTAGAATCATTGATTTACTGGTATCCTAGCCGTGAATCCCTGAATAAATCTCCAAAATCGTTATTCACTTCGTCAGTACAGGTAGTCGAGAATGGTACCTCAAACGTCCTTGAGTTAAAGGCATTAAGATAAAATAACATCCATTGATGAGTCTGATCCTACCACACACAGGGGAAGTGATTCCTAAAAATCATGCTGAGCGAGCTAATTGTCTGTGAAGATGTTGATTAGTCATAACCATATATGGAAGTAATGTTTTCCTCGCTGAATTTCTGTATAAAAATTGTTAAATAAAAGTTACCAAAGATTATACCCTCCAGCAAAATCTTAATTTAAAATCTTTAAAAGCATATGAGTCACTTAAAGGACAATAAACACCATCTTCCAGCTAACATTTGAGGAAATTTAAATCACTCAATTGTTGACGTCTTGATAATATCCGATAATCACAGGACACTGTTTCCTCTTAATGAAAATGTTTGTAAAATTCTCTCACATTTCTTGAAAACCTTCACACAAATGTTTCATTAGAAATTTTAAGTCCATGAATTCAGAGACATCAAGTACATAGAATTAATGCCCTGTGATGTCACACAAATATCCTTGACAAGTAATATTACGTGAAAATACTAATGGCGGTTATGGCCCTAGATATTTTTCCAATTACACTTTAAATTTAAATGTCAGACGTCTAGTATAAACACCTTCCCAGTTTCTATGTAGAAATAATATACAGCACGGTTCAATGGCGTCTTTGCTGTACGCAAACAACAGACCCTGTCAGTCACTGGCGAATGAACAATTCCCACTCACTGTTCAATAACACTGAGCTACCTTTAACTTCGTATACAGGTTTATAATTGTGAGATAAAAAAAAATCCCGATAGAATGCTTCCATTGATTTTCGGCGGTCCTGATCAATCACGCCCAGAAAATTGTAAATTGATGAGGGTCGTAGTTTGGTCCTGAGATACGATACCCAGATACAAGTAGTCATTCACTTTCAAAAACCGATCAAATATCTGAAGTAGATATCATTGAATTTTGATGTAGGTACTTTTTTTTATTTGATCATGACTTTGTAAATTTTCATTCCAATTCTGAAGTGTACTAGCTAGGTTTCTGTACAAATGCAAAGATTTGGCAGAAGTTTGTTTAAGAAAATATATCAACAGTACTAATGGTAGTAAATGTTACAAAATTTTGATAGTTGAATTTTAAAAAGCTGTTCCATGTTTCTATATATACATATTTAATAACTTGCTATGTCAATTTACCTGAGAAATTCTTTTTTGCACTTTCGAGGGGGGGGGTTAATTTTAATTTTAGTTGGTCAATGCTAAGTAGATTAATATAAATCTGGTTAATACTGAAAAGCTTAGTTAAAATTTACAGTTGAGCATTATTAACACAGCAATCACTAATTCAGATGTCATGTATAATCCTAATCCAGTGTTTTAAATAATTATTTAATGTTTGATAATGAAATTAAGAAAAATTGTGTATTAATGAAGTAATTAATTTAAAGAAAAGTAATTTTACCAAACGCTTTTACCCTCACTACCATATAAATGAACGAAATACATCATAGAAAGTAACATCATTGACAACTTGATCTATGATGTAAATGATTCCCATTGACCTACAGTATTTTTTAGAGTGAATGTGTATTATTGGTCTACTGTACAATTTGAACACTGAATCCAGCCATTTGATAATCAAGCCACTTTTTCTCTGCTACCTTAAACCTTTTGTCTCTTTAGCAAAACTGTTACGGCTTACGGTAGTCCCTTTTACTTTCAAACCTTCGGGGCTATTTATCTTACAACTTTCCTTCCAACAGATCGTAATCCTCTTTATCGTGTACTGTCTCTGAAAGCTTCCACCTGACAATCTCAATAGAAAAGTTATTTTATAAGGGAAGCAATTATCTTAATTCCTCTTTAAATTTGCAGAGGAGATTTTGACAACCGGCATCCTGTTTTTAAGTCTTGTTAGCACAGCTGTTGTAAAATTTGTTTATATATCTGTTCATTTTCTTAATTTTTCTTC